GCCAGGCTGGTCTCGAACTCCTGACAGGTTATCTGCTCGCCTCAGCCTCCCAAAGTGCTGGGATTACAGGTGTGAGCCTCCACAACCAGCCAACTATTTTGTATTTTATTTGTGGAGGAAGGTTCACAGATATTTGTATATCTATCAAAATTTATCATGTATAATGAATAGATATTCATTGTAAATAACTTATAATCTCATAAAGTTAATTAACATTTATCTACAGAAAATTATACATAGTATTTTTTGTGATTAAAAAATTATTTTCTGTATTCTTGGGTAGGTTCTTTTTTTGTTCTTAATATTGTTTATTTGGACAATCTTTTTTTAAATGAATTTTGTTTAAAACTTTGTCCATTTCATTGTCTTTTAAATAACTAGCTCTCTGAGAAGAACCCTTAGCATCTTTGTTTTCTTTCTCTTTCTGCCATAAGTACCTTGCAATATCCCTGCCACAACTACCACCACCGTCATTTTGGTGGGGCAAGTGGGAACAGGCGAGAAGATAGGTGACTAAAGGATATTACAATATTTGGGGCAGAGGCCAGAAATAAAGGGATGATTTTTTTCTTATTTCAAAGTGCCTACTGTAGCCAGCCGGTCAAGCCTTGTAGCTATTGGAGACCATTTCCTATGTGCAAATTGATGTAGTTGGAATATTATGTTGTGTCTTTGAGGAGAACTCCTTTTACAATTCTTCAGAAGGGCTTAGCTGACAATGTGGAAACTCATTACCCTGTAGGAACTGGGTTCTAGCACCTTTGTATTCAAGGTCATAATATTGGCTCTTGTTGCTTAACTCACAGACCGATGAAAATGGGCCACAGAACCTGAAAATAATACAGCATCAAATAACTGCTAAATAGTTAATATGTTTTACTGTCTTAAAATTTATTTTTTAAATGTTTTCTTTTTTATTATTACTATTTTAAAATTTAAATTAATATTATCTTATTTTACATAGAAATGAAGTCTCACTATATAGTCTAAGCTGGTCTTAAGCTCCTGGGCTCAAGTGATCCTC